ATTGATAGAGTAAAATTTATTTTCTGTCTGTTTTGTGGTACTGGAGATCAACCCAGGGATGCTCTACCACTGAACTACATCTCCAGCCCATTTTATTTTTTATTTTTTTTATTTTGAGACAGGGTCTTACTAGGTTGCTTAGGGCTTCACTAAGTTGCAGAGGCTGGCCCTGAACTTGTGATCCTCCTGCTTTAGCCTCCTGAGTCACTGGGACTACCCACACCAAGCATTGATGATTTCCCGATCACAACATTCCTCTGTATTTATTAGATAACATTTTTTTTTCTGTAAAATTTCTTACCCTGACCATTTTTCTTAGTTGCATTCCATGGTTTATACTGCCCTGCCTTCTTTTTGCTTTCTGGTGCTCACATTAACCCAGAGTTGGAGGGTGAAACCCCTGCAGGCTGGTTCCCGTGTCCTTCAGACGTACATAGTCCTGCCAGTTATTCCTCTTGGGTGGGAAGTGCTTCACAGTCACCTAGCCTTGTCCTTGCTCCAGAGTCGTAATCCTACCACTTCTCCAAAAGCATAGGTTCCTTCTCAGTGGGGAATGTATTTACAAATTAAGATCTAGTGCCAGGTTAGCTCAGTGCTACTGAGGGCATTGCTTTCAGGCCTTTGCAGTGGACAGAGCTGGGACATGGTGGTGGTGGTGTTGTAGTTTTGGAACTGGGGATTGAACTCGGGGGCACCTGACCACTGAGCCACATCCCCAGCCCTCACTAGGAGTAGCTTAGTGCCTTACTTTTGCTGAGGCTGGCTTTGAACTCATGATCCTCCTGCCTCAGCCTCCAGAGCGCTGGGATTACAGGCTTGTGTCACCGTGCCCTGCAGTACCCCCCACCCCTTTTGACACAGGGTCTTGCTAAGTTTCTTAAGGCCTCACTAAGTCACTGAGGCTAGCCTTGAGCTTTCGATCCTCCCAATCCTCCTGCCTCAGCTTCCTGATTTGCTAGGATTACAGTTATGTGCCACCATGACTGGCTTAGGATGTCATTTTTTAAATAAAACTAGACTGCTTCTGTTTTTTTGTTTGTTTTTCAGGAGTTTCTTATATACTTTGTAGAGGTAGGTGAAAACTAGGGGTTGGAGTTTGAAAAATTCCAGAGACTAAAGTTATATCGACTTTTCTCAGCTTTGCTTTCCCATAATCCTCTAGGAAGCTAGGTTTTCTTGGCTCACATTATGTAGAATCCTTTGGCCTTAGATATCTCTAAACACGGGCCAGGGAGAGCGAGACTCCTTAGGCTACTTAGCTAACATTTTTATTCCATGATTCAAAAATATTTGAACAAAGAACGTTGAGGTGTTTTCTTTCTCAGGGCCAAAAGAAAAGTGGGACTTGGTCTTTGCCTGTGGCCAGCAAGGAAGGCATTTGGTGGCAGAGTGCTGGGACTTGGAGAAGGAAGGTACTGTCTACCCTGAGGCAGCTCTAGAGAGAGGCTGGGAGGTGCAGGCCTTGAACCTTGTCTGGTTCATCCCTAGGGGATGGGCCCTCTCTGCCAGTGGGATCCTGGAGGCCACGGTGCCATAGGGAGGGGAGGGTTTTTTTAAGTTCCAGCTTGGTCCTGTGGGTAATGTCTCATGTTGACTCCATTTCAAGAACTTAAATATACTGAGGGTATTTAGAAAATCTTCTAATTCAGGTCCTCTACTAAGAGAGAATGAGTACCTTTTTTTTGTTCGAAGACTTGTGCACTTAAATTCTTGGTGTTATAGTGCTGTAATGTACAAAGCTAGGGGTTTTTGTTTTTGATTTTAAGTGTATAATTTAAAAATCGGTTTAGGTGGTTTTCAGTGTTAATATGGAACAAATGAAGTCAGTGATTTCAGGTTTTCTTACTAGAATTGCTCATTTGTTCAGTACTTAATGCTCACACATTCCCAGGGCCTCCTGAGGCTTATCCAAGGTGTGATCAGCAGTGAGACACCTCTCAGGTGTTTATGGAAAGAGGCACGAGAGCCCGACACTTTATCAGGGTCCCGGCCCGAGTGGAGCTGAGGAGACGTTGTTGAGTGGAGGAGGAGGTCAGGGCGTTAACATGAAGAGTGTGTTTTCCACTCTCAAAGGAAGGACATCCAACAGGCACATGTGCTCAGTCACCCACGTGGGTCTTGCCTCCCTTCCAGGCTGTCCCGCTGTGACTCTTATCACTCCAGTCTTCCTTCCTCCCTGTCCCCTGAAGAGGAGGAGAGGCCCAGGAGGCCTTGTGTGTCAGTGTCCCTGTTGGTGACCCGGGCTTTCCCTCCTGCCTTTGGGGTGTGGTCCCTGCCTGCCGGGAGCTTCTTTGTGCTTCTGTGTTCTCTTTCTTGGACATGCTGTCATGGCTGATGTGACAGCTCTGGGGGCTCGAGGCCTGAGCTGCTGCTTCCCCCACCAATCTCTGTGCGCCGAGTTCTGTTCTCCCCTCCGTCCACCTCAGTGGAACCTGTGCATCTTCAGGACACTCCCGCCTTCCGCCCCCGAGTTCTTGGTGTCAGCTGCCTCCCTCGCTCCCCTCTGCTGCCTAGTCTGGTGGACCTTATAAGCCAGTTACTTGGTCACATAAGGCGAACAAGTGGGACTCATCTGGAAGTGAGGGCAACTCTGCAAGGAACTGCAGTGGGGGCTCCTGGGAGTTCCTGTGCTCCCCCCTGCCCTCTGGAGCCTCGTGACAGTGTCGTGGTCTGCATTTTGCTTGCTGCTCAGGTGAGCAGGCCTGCAGTGGGTGAGCAGGAGCTTGTGCACGGAAGGCCATGGCTCCTTGCTGGACAGAGCTTTGGACTACTTGCACCTGTCAGAGGTAGAATCGGGCCATTTGTGCCATTTTCTCATGAACTCACTCCATAGATGTCTTCCTAAAGTTTGGTTTAGGTTGTGATGAATTTAAGATGGGAAGTCACAGAACCTTTCCTCCCATTTTTAGTCCAGTCCCACAGAGGAATGGCATCTGTCACCTGGGCACCATCATTACCCTGCTTTTCCTCCTTTATGGGTGGGGACAGCAGAGGAGATCCTGGGCCGCCTATGGCTAGACTGCTCCCTGCATCCTGTGGCATCTGTGCCATGTACCTGGGCTGGGACACCTGGGTTAGCTGTGCTTCCAGCAGTGTCTCTAGCTCAGTGATCTTTGTAGATTGCTGCGGAGTAAACTAAATCGGCTGCTTCAGTGCATTTTCCAAATGTCGTCCCAAATTATGTAGCAAGTCTTACATTTTATTTTGAGATACTCGTAGATCACAGTATATTAATAGTATATTGTCACAAAAAATGACATGGAAGAATCCTGCCCAGTCTTCACCCATGTCCCCTGTGGTGACATCTTGGGAATATAGGAATACAGCATTGTGGTCAGGGTGCTGGCGTCCTGCAGCCACACCTACATCTCTTCTGAACCCTGGCAACTGAAAGTCTGTTCGCGGTCTCTTTAATTTTGTCTTTCCAGGAGTGTTAGTGAATAGGACCGCAGCATGGAACTGTTGGAACTGTCTTGCCCAGCGTAGTTTCCTGGGGATCGTCCAGGTCATTGCGTGGACAGTGGCTCAGCCCTTTCCATGGCCAGCAGTGGGCTGTGGCTGTAGGCTGCCCCGTATTCACTCGGTGGAGGACCCTGGGTGATTGTAGTTGGGTTGTTGGGAGTCCAGCTGCATGGAGGGTCTGTGCACGTGGCCTTTGTTCCTCTGGGACAGATGCCCAGGAGGGTGGTGCTGGCCCCGGCTGTGTGGCAGCTGCCTGTTTGGTGCTAAGAAAGTACCCAGCTGTTTCCTGGTGACACCATTTTTCATTCTTGCCGGCAGTGTCTGGGGGCTGCTCTCCACATCTTACCAGCACATGGTGGGCTGTGTTTTGTCATTCTGGTAGATCTGTGGCGAGACCTCCTTGTGGCTTCAGTATGAATTTCTGTGGTAGCTCATTGCTCAATTGACCGTCTAGTTACCTGTATGTGTGCTCTTTGGTGAGATGTCTGTGGCTTATTTTCTAACTGTTGAGTTTTTAAAAATTACCATCTTAACCCCCTGCCCGCCTCTGAGCAGGACCTTGCAGGTTGCCCCAGCCATTCTCGGGTGAGTGGTGCTGACCGTGCGCGTTGCTGTGCAGCTCACTGCGTTAGTTGGGTTCTGTGTGTTCTCAGTGTGTTCTCTTTCCCAGAGAACGTGGTCTGTGAGTAGTTTCTGTCTGTGACTTGTTTTGTCTTCCTCTTAACAGGGACTGTAGGAAAGCAAAAGTCTTTGGTTTTGATGAAGTAAATTTTTCCTTTTACACATTGATTTTGGGTGCATAGTTTTATGTTTTGCTTAAGTCTATGGTTTATCTTGGTTTCTGTTCATTTGTCTTCTGTTTTTGCAGTGCTGGGATCATAACCAGGGCTTTCAGCATGCTAGATGAGCAGTCCTATTTTGGGTTAATTTGTACATAAGATGTGAGGTTTAGGTCAAGGTTTAAGTCAAGGTTTTGTGCATGATTAGCATGTACAGGGCCGTGGGTTCCATCCCCAGCACCAAAAAAGAGAAAAAGAAAAAGGGAAACATCATTTGGATATATTTGTTTGAGTCTAGTTCTGGGTTCTGTCCCATGGAGCTGTGTGTCTGTCCATCAATACTATGTAACTGCTGTGTAACCATAGCTACATGTAAGCCTAAAGACCTGGGGCGGGAGTCCCTCCAGTTTATTCATTTTCAGTAATCATTTTAGCTTACTAGGCATTTACTCTAGTTCCTTCGCTTTTCCATGTAAGTTGTAAAATAATCTTGCCTGAGGCTCCAAAGTATATTTGCTAGAATTTTGGTAGAAATTATGTTTAGCCTGTATCTATGTGGACAGAATCGACAATTCACCAGACTGTCGTGAATGCGGACATCTTTTCCAGGTTAGTGAAAGCTGCAGGTGACCAGCCCAGCTGTGGCGCCTCCTGTGGGCACGGGCTAAGATTGAGCACTCCTTCCCTTTCGGGCAAGGAGAGACTGAGGTTGGGACTTCATTCACTTCCTCTCTCTTTTTGGTTTGTTTTTATCCATAGGCCTATGAAAGGAGGTTCCCTACATGTCCGCTGATTCCCATGTTTGTGGACAGTGACACTGTGAATGAATTCAAGAGTGAAGACGGGGCCATTCACGTCATTGAAAGGCGCTGCAAGCTGGACATAGACGCACCCCGGCTGTTGAAGAAGGTAACTGCCCAGGCCTGCCGGAAGGCGTTGGTCCCAGAGATAGAGAATTTATGTTTCCGCTTCTGTCACAGTGGTGTTGATAATAAACCCTTTTCTCTTTATTTCTTTTTTAAAGATTGCAGGAGTTGATTATGTTTATTTTGTCCAGAAAAACTCTCTCAATTCTCGGGAGCGCACTCTGCACATTGAGGCCCATAATGAAACGTTTTCCAATCGGGTCATCATTAACGAGCACTGCTGCTACACCGTGAGTGCACAGCCCTGGGCGGAGCCCGCCAGCCGGGAGGCACGGGGGCACGGCTTCCAAAGGTGGTCAGCCATCACTGGAACGGCGTGCCTCTTTGTCCTGGGGTAGTTCTTTGCCATATATTTCCTGTTAGCAGTTCTGAAGGGGATCAGCAGTGGCAGGTGTGGCTTCCTGCAGGCAGGATTGCACTGTGGTGGCAGTCATAGCCAAGTCATTCCACTGCCATGCTCTGCTACTTGAGAAATGCATTCTGAAGAGCAGGATGGTGTGTGTGTTTGAGATTAGAGCTGGGAGCACACGTCGGCTGTCACCTTCACTGCCGACCACCCTGCTTTGAGAGCTGCTCTCACTAGGTCATTAGAGTGGCCTCCTGCATGGTGTGTCTGCTGCCGCCTTAGCCACCTCCAGTGTATCCTTAATGCTGAACCCACAGTGAACTGTTTTAGGATTGTCAAGTTTTATCACTGAGCTCACAACCCAGTGCTTCCACATGACCCTCAGAGAAAAGCACGAGTGCTTGCCGTGGCCTGGGAGGGCCGGTTCCCCCTCAATCCTTGTACATGGCTGCCAGCACGCTTGCCAGCACGCCAGCCTCCGGAGGACTTCCCCAGCCCTCCTTCAGGTTTGCCCAGATCCCTGTTCCCAGTGGCCAGTCGACAGCGCGGCCTGCAGCCCTACCCGGTCCCCTTAACCCGCTCTACGCTTTCCCCATGGCCCTGATCTTCCAGCAGCTGGAAGTTCCTCACCTTTCTGTCCAAGGCTCGTGGCCGTCTGTCTCCTTGTGAGGCTGTCAGTGACACGGAAGGGTCTTTCCTTCATTCCTAATGGGAGAGCGGCTCTGTGTGTAGGGAGGTGAGGGACTGGGCAGGGGAGGACGAGCGCTCCTCTCAGGCCACGCTGGTGTCTTGGAGTTCGAGCCCTCTGTAACCCTCCTTGTGCTGTTTCCGTGGGAGTAGCTCTGTTGTAAGAGAACTGCTCCTTCTGGTCGCTGGCCGAGGGGAGCAGAGCAGGCCTCGCTGCCGCACACAGCAGGCCTTCTCTTCACCCGCAGGTTCACCCTGAGAACGAAGACTGGACCTGTTTTGAACAGTCTGCAAGTCTAGACATCAAATCTTTCTTTGGTTTTGAAAGTACAGTGGAAAAAATTGCCATGAAACAGTACACCAGCAACATTAAAAAAGTGAGTCTCTGGGACTTCATGGGAAAGGGAGGGCAGCAGTCTCCTGAGGTGTCCGAGCTAGTCCTCTGGAAGGCCGGGAGCGGGTCACTCGGGGGTAGAAATGTGCTTCCACCCTGCCCTGGGCCTTCTGTTTAGCCCTGCGGGGCTGGTGGTGCTGGCTGCAGGTGGAGTGAAGGAGGCACAGGCGGGTCACTCCTGGCCACCACATTCTCTGCTTGGAATTGTGGGAACATGGGAAGTTGGGGTGAGGTGGCCGCACCCCTGGGTTCTACTTGTGGGTCTGCTGATGGAAAGTTCTGTGTGTTGAGGAGATTCTTGGCAGGTGGCCAGGCAGGGCTCCCTGGACCTTCTCAGGTGCGGCCGCTCGCTCTCTGGGAGCTGTGGGTCGTGGTTTTAAAGCTGTGGTGTGGGGTGGTGGGGGGCTCTCGAAGGTGGTTGTATTTTCGGGTACAAGGTTAGAATTGTGTTCAGTACAAGTGTGTCTGATAGATCAGTGTTCTAGATTAGTTTGGGGCATGCTATCTCCAAGCTATATCTCAGCCCGTAGTTTTTGGTAGTTACCTCACAAATTGGTAAGGGACAAATGATTGAAGTATCGACTCTACACTCACCTTAACCTTGGTCTCCTCCTAAGGGGAAGGAAATCATTGAGTACTACCTTCGTCAGCTTGAAGAAGAGGGCATCACCTTCGTGCCGCGCTGGACCCCACCTTCCATCGGGCCCTCTTCAGAGACGTCCTCGTCCAGCAAGAGTCAGGTGGCATCCACGGCTGTTGTGGTCCCAGAGGCTGCCCTCAAGGAGGGGCTGAATGGAGAGGCCCTCAGCAACCCTGGAGGGACCCCTGAGCCCACGGTGGGAACCCCTGATGGTGGGTCTGAAGAAGGCTCCATTCTTCCGGCTAGACTAGGAGTCGTGTGGGGCCTTTCCTCTCTACTGCTCTGCCTGTTCCTGTTTCCTTAGGACACACAGCACCACGTGGAGAAGGAAAGCCATTTGTTGTTTCTGGTCTCGTTTCCTTGTCTTATAGCTTATGTGATACATTCATGTGATTTTTTTCTTAGTTTTTGTTTTTAATGGGCAGAAAAAGATGTTTCAGGTTAGTTGCAGGTGCCTGAGGTGAGCACGAGCCATCCGTGCTTTCTCCTAGAACTCCCACCGCTGGACACCTCACTGCTCAGGTGCCAGGGACTGTCCAGGCACTGAGTGGAGGGTGCTCACGCCATTGTGGCTCCTTCTGGGTGGGGGAAGCTGAAGATGCTCCCTGTGTTTACATTGACTGAGGCAGAGACCTGACCTGCCTGGGGCACAGGGAGTCGGTCCAGGGCTGAGACTGTGCCCAGGTGGACGGGCTCAGGGACTGCTTTAGCCACTGCTCCACTTGGCATGTGCTGAGAGTAATGCCCATTGTTAAGAGTTCAGAAAACACAGGAAAGTAAGAAAAGACAAGAGTGTTCTGCCATTCAGAACGTTCATTAAAATATCAGTATCTCTTCATACTTTTGTTTTGTACCAGGCACTTTATCACTGAGCCACACCCCCAGTCCTTTTTTATTTTAGAGACAAGGCCTCTCTAAGTTGCTGAGGCTGGCCTTGAACTTGGGGCACAGGGCTCCTTGTGATCCTCCTACCTCAGCCTCTTGAGCTGTTGGGATTACAGGCGAGTGCCGCCATACCCGGCCTTGCATACATTCTGTTGGCAGCTAACTGTGCCATTTGATGACTTTCAACAGTTTGCTGGGAGTGGGGATGATTTGGGGATATGTTTTATTTTTCACCTTGTGAATATTTTTTTGTTGTACTCATCTGTCCAGTGGTACCTTATCTGGAGAAACTGTGTTCTTGAACACGGTAGCTGGATCCTTAACGAAGATTTAGATCTGCTTGGTTGTTTCATTTCACAATTTTATATCATGGAAGGGCTTTGTCACTTTGAATTAAACCAGTCGTTGAATGTCTCCTCTAGTCATGGTGATGTCATGAGTGGCATTGTGGCTAATTGAATTGAGGTAGTTCAGTGTGGTAATCAGGGAAAGGTAGCTGAGTCAGAAGGCTCACCTCTGGTTCTGTGGTGTCTTAAAGATGTCACTAAATTCTCCAGGGTGGTTGCTTTAAATGTGTCCTCTCTGTAGTCTCCTTCACCCCAAGACTCTAGCCCCACCTGGCACTACCAGGCAACGAGAGCCTCAGGACAGAGTTCATCTTTGCAAATGGTGCCATGTGGTTCCCATTGCAGACAAACTCGATGCCGATTACATCAAGAGGTATCTGGGTGACCTGACCCCACTCCAGGAGAGCTGCCTTATCAGGCTTCGCCAGTGGCTCCAGGAAACCCACAAGGGCAAGGTGAGTGTTGGCCCCCAGGCTGTGCAGTCTGCCATCTCTGGTCCTGCTGCAGCTGGAGAGGTCATCCCCACGGGAGTGTCGCCAGCTGGAGCCCACGTGCCTGGCAACAGGTTGGGCTGCCCTTCCTCGTGTGCATGGCTGCTGCTCTGTGCGCTGTTGCTGAGATGGTCTGCTCAGAAGCAGTCGGTCATCGAGTGGCAGAGTAGCATGATGTTCCAGGTAGCCATGCATTTTAAATTTTAAAAAGATTCGGAACGAGGTCAGAGTTTTATCCAAGATTAGAAATGTTTGAGCTTTAATTCTGAAGTTTTATGTGAAATTGTAGCCACATAATAAATTTGGTTTTAATAACAAGTTTATGTAGCAAGCATAAAGGTTACTTAATGGCCCAGTGCAGGAAGCAGGCACCTGCACACAGTTTTTCCGGTCTCTAATTCTCTCAGTCCTGGTTGCATGAGAGCTTTTTTTTTTTTTAATAGTTGTAGATGGACAGAATGCCTTTATTTTATTTATTAATTTTGATGTAGTGCTGAGGATTGAACCCAGTGCCTTACGCATGCTAGGCAAGCGCTTTGCCACTGAGCTACAGCCCCAGCCCCCGAGAGCTTTTTAACACCAGTCATTAGGAAAACAGCTACTGTTGGTGTCTGCGACCGTGTGTTAGACATGCTTTTAGCTCTTTGTGTAGTCTTCCCAACAGGCCTAGAGGTGGGTGCCGTTCCATCATCTCCTTCTTTCAAAGGTCCAGAAACCAAGGCATGGAGAAGTTAAGCAGCTTGCTCAAGGTCTTAAGCTAGGAAACAGTGGGGCCAAGATTTGAACCAAGACCATGTGGTTTCAGCACCATATTCCTGTTTATTTATTAGATACAGGATATTCAACCTAGGGGTGCTCTTCCACTGAGCCACATCCCCAGCCCCCTTTTTTTATTTTGAGGCAGGGTCTTCATAAGTTGCTGAGGCTGGCCTCCAACTTGTGATCCTCCTGCCTCAGCCCCCCGAGGTGCTGGGATTATAGGTGTGTTCCCACGTTCTTAACCGCTTCCATGTGCCTGTGCTGCTTTCCAAGTGAAGATGATGCCAAATCACTGCACCCTATGCTTTGATTATGTGCCAAGGTGGGATACCACGCAGACTCTTGCTCCCACTCTCTTCATGGTCTCTGGATGGTCTGGCTACCTGCATTAGCGAACAGGTGACCACAGAGGGAAGAGACCTGGTCCAAATGAGACCCAGATCCTGGACTCAGCCTTCTTCTTATTCAGGGTGACCAGGCTGATTGACAGGGTCTTGAGAAGGTTCCTGCATGTCAGCAGCACCCCGCAGAAGTGCACAGGGCACAATGGTATGCCGTCACATAGCTTGGAACTGTTGCCTGTGTTTCAGACATTGTGCCTTCACATTGCCCAGACTGAAAGGGTGCTTTAGGAAGATCACTAGAAAAATCAGATATTGATTTTTTTTTTTTTTTTTTTTAATTAAACATCAGGCCAAGATTTTTCTGGGAATAGCTAATTTTATTTTTTTCCGGTGGTGGAGAGCAAACCCAGGGCCTCACACGCCGGGCAGTGCTGTACCACTGAGCTGCTCCCTGCCCCAGCAGCAGCTCGTTCTAAACAGCATGAAGGTGCAGGTTACTGTTGAGAAGAGATGGAGTTTGAGTCTTGGTCTCTTAGCAACAACAAACCTTCCCCCGGACCCCCAGTCCTGGGGTTGGACCCAGGTGTGTTGTACCACTGCATCACACCCCAGTCGTTTTAAAAACTGACATTTTGAGGCTGGGCAACTCTTAACAGTCCTAAAAGCATCTTTTCTTCTAGATCCCAAAGGATGAGCATATTCTTCGGTTCCTACGCGCTCGGGATTTTAACATCGACAAGGCCAGAGAGATCATGTGTCAATCTTTAACATGGCGGAAGCAGCACCAGGTGGACTACATCCTGGACACCTGGACCCCACCCCAGGTGCTTCAGGATTACTACGCGGGAGGATGGCACCATCACGACAAAGGTGGGTGGCACTGCGCCTCCCCGTCTGTTGCCATCTTGTCTCCCCGTGGGGCATCCGGGAGCTCCGCAGAGAGCCAGGGGCCTGCAAGGCATCGCCCTCCTCTCCTGGGACCTGGAAGCGCTCTCCAGTGTGAGCCAGCTGGTGAGACCCTCCAGTGCACTCCTGTCCCACCTGGGCAGCTGAGGGAGGGCAGTGGCTTTGGCTCCTTCCTGGAGTTGCCCTGGGACAGTGACTTTACTTCCTTTCTCAGCTCTGTGGAGTCTGTTTTGACATATTAAAAACTCAAACGTTGGGCTCAGGCTGTGGCTCAGTGGTGGAGTGCCTGCCTCACACGTGTGAGGCACTGGGTTGATCCTCAGCCCCATGTAAAAATAAGAAAATATAAAAAGATATCGTGACCATCTGCAAGAAAAATATTTTAAAAAGCCCCAAAACTTAAATGTTGGTGACAGAGTGACTTCCCCAGCACTGTGCTAATAAAAGGGATTTAATGACTTACGCCTTCCAGTGGCTGTGACATGCCCAGCCAGGCCTCCATATCAGATAGCAGAGAACTGCAGTTTCTCTCAGGAGCAAGTAGACCAGGGACACAACACTCAAAGTGGGGGTGGCCATCCCTTTGCATACTGGCCCCCGCGGGAGTGCCGGCCTTGTCTTACGATGCTCTTTCCTCCTGGGCTGCAGGTTGGTGGTTGGACAGAATTGAATCACAGTCATTGGAGGGGGGCTGCAGGGATTGCTGTGGAACTGGCTTCCTCTTCTGTCTCTGAACAAGTCCTTTCAGAACTATAATACTCCAGTCTGTCTTGTTTTTCTAATTGGCTATTTATTTACTAGTATTAGGGATTGAACCCAGTGGCTTTTCCACTGAGCCACATCTTCAGCCCTTTTTATTTTATCCCTCACTAGCCTGCTAAGGCCAGCCTCAAACTTGTGATCTTCCTGCCTCAACCTCCCAAGTCACTGGTGTGCCACTGCACCCAAATTGTTTTTCTTCAAAGTAACTGTAGCTTTATTGGTTGTAACTGGAAACATTTGTATTTATTTCACTACATGACTGGAACCTTAAAAGGTTAAAAAGTTTTGTAGTAAGACATGGACAGATGTGTCCCATATAAATGTTGGAAGAGGGACCCAGGTATGATGGGACGCACCTGTGATCCCAGCTGCTCTGCAGACTGAGGCAGAAGGATTGCAGGTTCAAGGCCAGACTCACTAACTTAGCAAGATTGCTGCAAAAGAAAAGAAAAAAGAAAGGGCTGTGGCTGCAACTCAGCGGCAGAACACTGGCTTCAGTCCTCCAGCACCACCTGAAAAAATGTTGGTACAAACTTTTTGTAAACTTGCTTTTCTACAAGATTTGGGGTCACAGAAAACTTCTTGGCTTAGTAAACAGATGTGGAACCAGCTGTTCCCTAAAGGCGAGGTCAGCCCCGGGAGGACCCATGGCAGACGCTGCCTCCCTGCAGGACGATCCTGCTGCTCTCCTTTCAACCACAGGGCGGCAATCTGAGAGGTGCCGGCCGCTGCATACACTCTGGCCCTGGGATCATCTTCCCCTGTGTGGCTGGCTGGCGATGACAGGGTTGTGGGATGAGTTAGGTTCCTCTCAGGCTCCCTCCGTTAGATCTGTAGGTTACGGAGACAGAGCCAGCGGGTACTGATTGGTGTCCAGAATGTTCCCATTTTTCTTGGACTTCAGTGGAAATCGAGGAAGACTGACTTGTAAAAACCTTACTAATTTATTGGTAACGTATGAAATTAAAAAGGCTTATTTTTCTGAGAAAGGAAACTTGAGCTGAATTCGTAGAAAAATCCTAGGCATTCGGAAGTCTCCTCTGGGCTCTTGCTAAGCCCTGTGTGCGAGCAAAGCAACCCAGCCTGACGGCTATCGCGCAGGACAGGCTGGGCTTGGGCTCGGCTCTCCTCCCGGCAGCACCATCTCCAGACTCTGCTAAGCTGCACCATTATTTGGTTTTTTTCTTTTGTGACTTTTGGGGGAAATGTTGGATGCCAACCCCACCCCTGTCCCCACACTGAAGCCAGCTGCTGCTTAGCAGAGGGGAGAACTTGGGCCTGTCAGAACACTCCAGAGCACTCCTGCTTCCCAGGAGTCCTGTTTGCGGGGCTGGGGTGCAGCCCACAGCCTTGCTCCCAGTGGGTGCTCTTCAACTGCACCACCTCCAGCCTGGAGCCAGGGGTCCCGGGGGTGTCCTATGCCCCACACAGGGACCCTCTGATTGCTTCCTCCCCTGCAGACGGACGGCCTCTCTACGTGCTCAGGCTGGGGCAGATGGACACCAAGGGCTTGGTACGAGCCCTGGGCGAGGAAGCCCTGCTGCGATACGTAAGTCCTGGCTGCTGCTGGCCTTGCCCTGCGTCCCATGCCGCGCCCCCTGCCCTTGCAGTTAGACAGGAGAGCCTGATGTATGCAGAGACCTCAGAGGAGGACACAATCGTCCTGCAGATGTTTTAACTGCGGGGTCCTCCGCGGAGTAGCCAGGTGTCTAGAGCAGACAGACCCACCCCCACACCCTGCTGCTGGCCTTCTGTGGGTTCCTGTCCATGCCCCTGGCCATGGTCATCTGTGCGGTGCACAAATGCAGATACAGAGGGACTTCTTCCGAGGGAGCACTTGTCACCCCAACTTGAAGGGCTGTCCTGGGCTGCCTGGGGCTGTTCTGAGACCTCCTGTGGCACGGCGCACTGGACATGCCCAACTGCCTCTTTCCTGCTGTCCAATTCACCTGTTCTGAAGACCCATCCCAGAGTGGTGGCTCCCTGAGCCCAACCTGCGGTGACACGACTCTCCCTTCACCACAGAGGATGGCATCTGCTCTCTCCTGAGAGCCAGATGGTTGTCCTTGTCGGACCGTGCTCAGCCAGTACCACTGCCAGGATGCTCTGTGGGCACCCTGCCTGCTCCCCTGTGGTGTGCCCGGTGGGCGAGTCTTGACCTGCCCCGTCTCCATGCCCTCCGTGACAGGTTCTCTCCATAAACGAAGAGGGCCTGAGGCGCTGTGAAGAGAACACGAAGGTCTTCGGCCGGCCCATCAGGTGGGTGAGAGGTGTGCGCTCTTCTTTGGGCTTACTGACAATGTGGATTCCATATTTCTAGTTGGTATTTAGGACCGAAGTCTAGGAGTTCACTGTTTTCCAAGGAGTTTCAAAACTAGAAAGTAATGAGAGGGACAGCTGCAGGCTTGGTGCTCCTTGCCCCCTAGGCCCGGCTGTCAGGGCATCCCAGCAGGCCCCATGGGTTGGCCTGGGCAGTGGGCCTTGAGGTCCTTGGGAGCCCAGGAGCATAGCTCCTTTGCTTCTTTGTTTCGACCCCCATTCTCCCAAACTCTGCTGTGTTCCTGAGCTGGCTTCCAGGCTTTGTCAAGTGGGGTGAAAGTGTGCAGGGACGCCAAGGTGGACACGTGGACGGGTGGGGGTGGCTCTTCTAGAGTGTCTGTTCCCCAGGGCAGGGCTTGCAAGGGTGCGTGTTCACTGCTGCCTCTCAGCCCCTCAGAAGGCGCTGGACTCAGTGAACATTTGTTGTGGAATAGCTTATTGCAGTGCAAATGCCAAGTGTGTGTTACAGTGTCAGATGTGTGCCCTGGGGAAGAGGCACAGGGTGTCGGGATGGAGCTTTATGTCTTGCTTGCTAGTCACTGAGCATGTCTGAGAGAGGCTTTTATATGCTGTCAGCCATTCATTGATGGCTTTGATAGTTCAGGGTGGGTCCTACCACATTGAGCCTATGTGTTTTATGTAAGTAGATGTGAATAGAGTTCATAACACCATAATTCTTAAAACTGGTGTATAAGCCAGGCATGGTGGTGTGTGCCTGTAATCCCAGTGATGTGGGAGGCTGAGGTAGGAGGATTACAAGTTTGAGGCCAGCCTGGGCAACTCAGTGAGGCCCTGTCTCTAAATTTTTAAAAATTTTAAAGGGCTGGGGATGTAGCTTAGCAGTAAAGCACCCCTGTAGTCAATGCCCGTGTTGCCTAAAAATGGAAAAACAAAACAAAAAAACCTGATGTATATTTGGAAACGACTATAAAAAGACTGTTTTATAATATGGAAAGAAAAACATTGAATATAGGACCCAGTTTGCCAAGTATGCTGTCTATTGAATAAAACGCATCTCTGCACCATCTGCAGTTCCTGGACCTGCCTGGTGGACCTGGAAGGGCTGAACATGCGCCACTTGTGGAGACCTGGCGTCAAAGCCCTGCTGCGAATCATCGAAGTGGTGGAGGCCAATTACCCAGAGACACTGGGCCGCCTTCTCATCCTCCGGGCACCCAGGGTCTTCCCTGTTCTCTGGACGCTGGTGGGTTTGTGTGATGTTCTGCAGTGACCGTTAGCCTTCTAGAAGGCAGATATTTGTGCACTCGCTGCATGTCTGTGTCCTGGAGTCTCAACTAAGTGGGAAAAAGCAAAGTAAGATGCAGAGTGAAACTCAGATGTTGTTAAAGGGGAGAAAAAGCAAAATGTTTCTGACTGTCCTAATGCTGTGCAGACGGACCTGACAGAGCCCCCTGTCAGACTTTTGCTCTTTGAAAACCAGACAGCAAATCAAACAGCCCGGCCTCTGGCTCCTCACAGGTCAGTCCATTCATTGATGACAACACCAGAAGGAAGTTCCTCATTTACGCAGGAAATGACTACCAGGGCCCCGGCGGCCTGCTGGACTACATCGACAGAGAGATCATTCCAGATTTCCTGAGCGGGGAGTGCATGGTACGTATGAGGAAAGAGGCACACATTTGTACTGAGGACGTTAGAAGAGTGGTATTGGTTTGCACAGATGACTTCAGAACCTTTAGTTTGGATTTCTTGATTTTTGCCTGTCACCTTTGACCTGAGGTTGAACTGAGGAGAGCCATTCAGATAATTGTTGGTAACACATTTCTTTACGTGAAATTCTAATGGGAATTTTTTAGAATCTATTGTAAGAATAGCTTGCTTTATTAACACAGCCGTGAGAGAATCAGATCTAGTAACTGTTTTAGTTTTTTAAAAAATACTATTACAGCATTGATTCGGCCGGGCACAGCAGCTGAGCAGCTCAGGAGGCTGAGGCAGGAGGATCACAAAGTCAAAGCCAGCCCCATCAACTTTGTGAGAGAGACCCTGTCTCAAAATAAAAAACTAAGCAAAATAAAAATTTTAAAAAGTGTCTGGAGGTGTAGCTCAGTGGTTAAGTATCCCTGGGTTTAATCCCCAGTATCAGAAAAGCAAACAGGGACTCGGGGCTGACAGCGTGGCTCAGGGCTGGAGCACTTGCCTAGCGTGCAGAAGAGCCTGGGTTTCATCCTCAGCACCACCAACAAAACAAGAGCAGTCAAAGCAACACTGAATCAGCTTTCAAGAGCGGTTCCTTGACAATTACGTAACCCAGGATAATACTTTCAAAGTGGAAAATTAAAGGAAGTGGTTCTCCTTTATGTAAGTTTGGGGTTTTAAGAAAATAAGGTGCTGGATAATCAGGAGCCAAAGGAGCAGGAATCTGGAGGCCTGGAGGCTGCATTTGCCCAGGGGAGGCCTAAGAAAGCTGGGGCTGGAGGAACTCCGTGGGATTGGATCTGTGGGCTCCGTGGCTGCTGAAGTGAGCAAGGGATCGAGGCTGTCATCAGAGCAAGGATCTCTGGGCACCTTCACACTAAAGCTACCCCTTGAGATGTGCACACTCTGGGTTTGACTCCTTTAGCTAAGGAATTGAGCTGTTGAGGGATCCTTCTCAATGGTTAGAGGACTTTAGGAAACCCAAGAGTTTAGCTCTCAGCTCATCAGTTCCATTTTAAGGAAGCTGCAGGCACCATCACACCACAGTGCACAGAGCAAGTAAGTTGCAGGATGTGACTTAGCAGGTGCCCCTGAGATCAAACCATGGGGTCAGGTTTGTGGAAACCTACAAACTGCTTTCATCATGAAAAGCTAACCATCTTGTAGCCAGGCATAGTGGTGTGCCCCTGTAATCCCAGAGACTTGGGAGGCTGAGGCAGGAGGATCTCAAGTTTGAGGCCAGCCTAAAATAAAAATCAAAAAGGGGGCACCATGCTGAAGCACCCTTGGGTTCAGTACCTGGTGCCCAAACCAAACAAAAACAGGTGGAGTCGGGTATCAGACTCTTGGCAGGTAGCACCTGCCTTTGTAGCCTGTCCATGCCCGACGCACTCACAGTGCTGAGAGTCCATCTTATTGAGATGTCCATCTTTTGAGCCTTGTGGGACCCCACATGCCTCCTGGGCAGCCACTCAGCCTGGTGGTCGGAGGGGAGCGCTCCTGGGCCTAGAAGGTGTCTCACCACCGGTCAACTGGTGTTTTCTAACATGCCATCCTTGCGGGGACAGTTCCACTTGGCACTGCGGGCCGAGGGTGTGAGCGTTTGCTCTGTGTGGTTGCCTCCTGGGCTGCTGTCGGGAGTACTTGGATTTTATGAACTCTCAGGTGAAGCTGCTGTTCAATGACTCATCAGTTGTCATTGTCAAATAGGACACTGCTGTTTCTTGCACATTCAAGTTCTCCTTTAATAATAGCGGGTGATGGTATAGACTGATCGTTTGATTATACAGGAAGCTTTATTCGTTGGTAGTAATTGACTATAAATTTGATCATTTTGTTTTTTTCTTTTCTGTGGTGTTGGGGATTGAAGCGAGTCCTCATACGTGCTAGGCAGGTGCTCTATCAGTGACCTGCATAACCAGCTCCAGTTAAGACTTTATGTAAAAATAATGCCTGTAGTTCTTGGGAATAAAACTTTCTTAACATAATGTGTTTCCTTTGTAGTGCAATAGAAAGTCTTTTAAATCCTATAAAAAACAGCTGTAGTAATTGAGTCCGGTACCTCCTGCATATTAGCGTGAATTCTGTGGTAAACCGTCTTTAACTTGTTCGTGTTTACTCAGAGTAGAACACAGGACTGCAGTGGTTTTCCACAGTATCTCACAGGCTGCACGGCCTGCCTCGGCCTTGCCAGGGCTCTGTCTAGATTCTTAGGAGGTCAGTGGGCGTGGACGGGGGCTCGGGCTGTGGGCTGTGGGCACAGCTCTCATGGCTGTGTTTACATTTCCAGTGTGAAGTGCCAGAGGGTGGACTGGTCCCCAAATCTCTGTATAGGACTGCGGAGGAGCTGGAAAATGAAGACCTGAAGCTCTGGACCGAGACCATCTACCAGTCTGCAAGTGTGTTCAAAGGAGCCCCTCACGAGGTACGCCTTCCCGGCCACCCCAGGGGCCGCCCCAGGCCTGCTGCCCGCTGCCCATCAGAAGAGCCGCTGGTCTTTCTGCTCTTGGGTCTTCAGGTCCCTGATGGTCTATCTTGGTAAATGACCACGTGGAAGAGCGGGTCTCTCACATGGAAAACCACTGTGTGGCCAAAGCCTTAAAGGGGGCCTGGTTTCTTGCCCTATTTCGCTGGAGAGCCTTGACACGGACATGGGGAACAAGTTGGTCCTGTCGGAAGCCTGCTTTCACCCCTGAGCTGGCTACTCAGTGGTCACCTTGACCAGGCTTCCCTTGAGTGGTCAAGGGAAGAAACTCCACTTGGAGTTTCTTCAGAGCTTTGCCGGTTCCGTCAGTGCAGGGGGCTGAGGAGGGAGCAGTGGGCCTCTGTTTCCTCTTCTTGCTGTCACACTGGTGCAAAGGCCAGAGTGTCCCTGCATGAAGCCCCCACGTGTCTGTAACAGTGCAGGTGACCTGAGTGTGAGGGCCACTGGGCAAGGTCCTGGGTCCTGGGTCCTGGCTGGGTGGCAGCACTTTACACGAGGGGTGCTGGGTCAAGCTGACTGCTGTCTCTGCCCAGGGTGGTGGCCAGGAGCTGACCCCTTACTGCTTTTGCCATGGCAGCTCCCTGCTCAGCCACCTGCTGATCACTGTTGCTGATGTCTTCCCAGCAGCTGACTGGATGGACCCTGGTGGGTGGAGGATGAGGGAGGCTGTAGCCGTGATTTGAACGGCAGAGGAAGCCTGATGCGCCCCCTGTCACACTGTCCTGAGATGATTTGTATGGATCCCTATCTGAGGGTGCATGGCGCTGTGCTTGTCCCTGTTAGAAGTGGCCTCTGTTACCACACCTGCGCTCTGCTTTAGGAATGAGTGAGGCACAAGTCCAAGGCAGGACCACCCGGGGCGAAGCGGTGCGTCCTGTGCAGCAGGGAGGGCGTGCTCCACAGGCCTGCTCCTCAGCCTCCAGAGGGGCCGTGCTGAGGGGCACAGCTGGCCTCCAGAGGGAGCCGCAGAGGCCAGTCCACGCAGAGCTCTGCCCAGCTGCTTTGGGTTCTCATGCCCCTCCCCCACTAGTCTTTGAAACTGACGCTGACCTCTTTCTGCGGGGGAACTGTCACTGCAGGTTGAAGTCCGGGTTTTGGATGGCACTGGGCACCCAAGGCCACCCCCACCCCTCACAGCTCATCTCTTCCTTCCAGCTTGTCTGGTGTAGCTGCACTCCTGTATGTGGCCTGTGCCCTCCAGGCCTCCCCTGCTCTTCTCCAGGCCTTGCTGCTCCCCAGCCCAAAGCAGCCCCGGCCCCCTGTGTCCAGTTCCCCGTCTTAGGTTGGAAGACCGACTTTCAGAAAGCTGTCTGCAGATGCTGTTGGGCATCTTTGGAGGGTACACGCAGGTCACAGAGGCACAGTGGCTCACACCTCCACGATGTGTAGCAGGAGCCTTTGGGGAAAGAAGAACGAGAGGGAACGGGCCCTGGAGGGCTGAGTGACCTGGGTGAAGGCACCACCCCTGCTTGTCAGTCCTGCCCGTCCCTCCTGCCCCTTCCTGGCTCACACCTCTGGGCCGGAAGGCCCCTGCAGGGCTTGTAAGCGCAGGCCTCACACGTGCGATTGAGTCACTCCCCCTCTTGTTTTCCAGATTCTCATTCAGATTGTGGATGCTGCTTCTGTGATCACTTGGGATTTTGACGTGTGCAAAGGCGACATTGTCTTTAATATCTATCACTCCAAGAGGTCTCCGCAGCCCCCCAAGAAGGACTCCCTAGGGGCCCACAGCATCACCTCTCCAGGCGGGAACAACGTGCAGCTCATCGACAAGGTCTGGCAGCTGGGCCGCGACTACAGCATGGTGGAGTCGCCCCTAATTTGCAAAGAAGGAGAAAGCGTGCAGGTAAAGTCACGTGTTCGTGACGCTCCATGGGGGCCTCCTCTTGACAGTGGGTGTTCCTGCTTTGCCCCAGCCCAGGTGGCTCATGGAGGCTCTGCTGTTGGTGGAGGGCAGGGTGTGCCTAGCTGCCAGGCCAGAAAGATCCGGGTCTTGGGCCCTGAGCGGGAGCTCCCACCCAAGCAGCGTGCAGGCAGCCCAGGACTCCCCTGCACAGAAGGGCCATCTGGCAGGAGAAAGTGTGTACACACACAGCTGGCCTTCAGATGACATGTGCTGGATGGAACTTGAGGGGTTGCCCTTGTCTTCGTCAGAGGAGAACCATAGAGAGGAGCAGAACTTAGGGAGCCACTTGCTGGTGGCCAGGCACGCTGGTTTACATCCAGATGCTCTGTGGCTCACCTCAGCCTCTTGCCGCTTTCCCGTCTAGGCAGCCCTCCGGGTGCCTCTGGCCTTCCATAGTAGAGGTGTGATTTTGCAAGGTGACAGTTGGGAGGGGCGTTCCTGTGGCCTTCCCAGCTCTTGTTGGAGGCCTTGGGACAGGCCTGATCGTGGATGGAAGGATATTGTCAAAGCCCTTCCTGATGGTGATCCAGATAGCAGGTCTCCAGTCCTGTCCAGATGGCCACTGACTGCTGTCGCATCCCCATGAGGCTGGGAGACAGCGCCCCGGCACTCGGCAGCCCCACTGTGGGACCAGGCTTGTCAGGGAGTCCTCCTCATCCTGCTTCCCCCGCTGCTCCAGGGCTCTCATGTGACCAGGTGGCCAGGCTTCTACATCCTGCAGTGGAAGTTCCACAGCATGCCGGCGTGTGCGGCTACCAACCTGCCCCGGGTGGACGACGTGCTGGCCTCCCTGCAGGTGTCCTCACACAAGTGCAAAGTGATGTACTACACAGAAGTGATCGGCTCCGAGGACTTCAGGTCTGGGCTCCCTCCCCACACAGGCGTTCTTGAGGGTGAGGGTGCTCAGCAGAGGCCCCAGAGCCAGCTGTGTGCAGCAGGGATGGTGGGTCCGGGCTTCCCGGGCAGCGCTGGGCCCCTTCCTTGGCTCTGACTGCACAGCTGTGGCGAGGGGTGTCAGAGCAGCAGCACAGCCTTTGCCTGTGCGTCGTGTCAGCTCTGTGTAGGCTGGGGGAAGCTGTCCCTGGATGGGACACTCGTGGCCCATTCCCCCTGACTGGGCGGGGGCGGCATAGAGGGGGCAGAGAGCAGGATGGGTGGGAAGCCCGCAGCAGTGTGGACAGCGGGCGCCTGTGGCTGGGTCCTCACACCTCTTCTCCTCCCTGCATCTGCAGAGGCTCGATGACCAGCCTGGAGTCCAGCCACAGTGGCTTTTCCCAGCTGAGCGCCGCCACCACCACCTCCAGCCAGTCTCACTCCAGCTCCATGATTTCCAGGTAGTGCCGCGAAGCCTGTGTCCACTGTGTGGAGGGGATGGCCGCGCCTCGACAGCCAACTGTGCCGGCCGCCCACCGACGTTGAGCAGCCTCCTCTCGCCCTCTAGGTAGCTCTAGCCATCCAGATGGTAAACTAGCCACGCCGTCCCAGAACTGTCGACAGGTAGTCTTAACTCTGACCCTGACCTTAACTCGATAGCCATAGATTTTATACACAGCGTGCACAAAATCAAACCAGAGCGCAAGGGCTCTCTCGAAAGAAAAATGGTTTATATTGCCAGTTAAGAGATTGACTTCGTCTCAAATATTGATGCAAAAAATTTTTCCAACAAGCTCCACCTTGTCCATTAGTGAATGACTTCCCATGACGTCTTCAGAGCCAAGCCCACCTTCTCCCAGGGAACAGAAGCCCCCAGCTGCTTGCCCTAAGCTGCACCGCGGTCCTTGTGGCTCCCTGTTAGTCGAGATGGTCGGTGGATCCGGTGGAAGCCCCCGAGTCCTTTCCTCTGGAAGACTCGGGCAGTCTGTAGCAGCACCTAGTCCTAGGGCCGACCTGCTGCTGTTCCTGAGTGGGGCTGGTGGCTCAGGAAGGGTTCTTGGGGGCGCCCGCAACTCCGGGAAAATGCCACCATCATTAAACATTGCTTTCTCTCTCCTCCTTTTCAAATCTTTCGATATTTTTCAGAGTAGAATTTTTCTGTGAACTTGGGTGGAGGTGTTCTCCCTTTTCCCTCTGGGTGCCTCTCTTCCCACTGCAGGGAGGGTGCTCTGGGCTCAGTGCCACCACTCCCGCGTACTCTAGCAGCTCGCTGTGCTCGGCCACTTCTGCTCCGGCCATTCTTTAGAGGGTGTTCTGGAAACAGCCATGTTTGCTGTTTGGAAGCTGTGGCAGTGAGTGTTAGCTGCCAGCAGGGTCACTTAAGGAGGGCATGGGGCTGTAGGAGCCCTTTGCGTTTGTAAGTGGAAACTGGATGCATGTGCAGGTGCTTGTGGGTGCGCGCAGCAGCCGGGTGATGGTGCAGGTAGACAGCTGGAAGCTCAGTTTGAGTCGCAAAGGAGTCCTCGGGAGCAAATCCGAGTATGAGATCGGTTTGCTTTTTACATTTTCTTTTTGATTTCCAACTACCAAGCCTCTTTGCCCTCTTCCCCCCCTTCACCAATTTTTAATGAGAAAGGCACGTTATTTATGAATCTGTCCAGGAGTCACATAGGGTTGGTTGTGTGATAAAGACGTGCAATGTGTGTTTTGTGTGGCAGGGGTTTTTAAATTGTGCACCACGCCACACAGCCTTCACAGTCCTAGATCACGGTGCTCTGACTCAGCCTGGGCATTGGGTGAGCGGCCATGTGACCAGAGAGCTGTGTGGAGGCCAAGTGTGCACCCCATGAGTAGGTCGGGTGAGCCTGGGAGAAACTGACTGCCCCGCTCCTGGCCAGAGGAGGCCTCTGGCTCCTGTGCCTGTGCACCTTGAGGCACACGCGGACCCCCCCCCGGGTCCCGCCTGCCCTTGCCCTATAAGGCAGCTCGCTGACACCGAAACCTCATTCCCAGAGCATGGCAGGGCTGGCCAGCACATCTGCGCTGTCAGAGCTTCCCATCTCCAGTTACAAGGACCTGAGGATGGTCCCTCTTCTCTCTCTTCCTGTCTCTCTCTCCCTGTCTCTCCTGTCTCTGTCTGTCTCTCTGTCTCAGATGGCGATTTTGCTGACAGCTGCCAAGAAAATGCTTCACTCACCCGTCCACACGTGCCCAGAGGTGTTTCTAGAGCATTTGACTTGCAGCCATGCCCCACCCCAGGCTGAAGACGCGTTCCTTTTAGTTGGTTCAGAAGTGGCACTCTTTTATCCCCAGAGAGCTGACTGTGTCTCTGAGACTTGAGAGCAGCATAGGACTGCACAGTGCCCGTGGCCCCCGGGAGCGTGGTGGCCCTCGGGAGCGTGGGGCCCCTCGTCTTGTGAGGGATTGGGCACAGGGTTCCCTGTGCAGCTGCGCATCTCTTGACGTCTCGTGCCCTGCCGCTCTTGAAATGCTGCTGTCGTCTCCCTTTTACGCTCCAATGATTCTGTTGGTTCTCCCTTCTATTACTAATGTGTCTTAACTCACTTTCCTAGATTCATTATTTGCATATCAGAATTCCCTAAATGTTTTGTAAACATATTACCTCACTCTTGGTAATACAATACTGATAGTCTTTAAAAGATTTTTTTATTGTTACCAATAATAAATGTGAACTGTTTAAGAAAAGAGTGTCTTTCTTATTGTAAAAGAGTCTCCGTGTCTCTCTCTCTCTCTCTCTGTTTTGGTACTGGGGATTGAACACAGGCCAGCCCTTTATATTTTTCACTTTGAGACAAAAGACAGTCTCACTAAGTTGTTCAGGTGCTTAGGACCTTACTGAGTTGCTGAGATTGGCCCCTAACCTGCGGTCCTCCTGCCTTAGCCTCCCGAGTCACTGGGATTGCAGGTTGGCCCCACCACACCTGGCTTCAGAGTCCCTCCTGAGTGTGAAATTCACTGGAGACTGCAGAGCTGAGGGAAGGTGCAGAGCTGAGGGAAGGTGCAGAGCCAAGGGAAGGAGAGGCTTTCCAAGGCCAGAGGACCAGTGCTCCGAAGTTCAAGGAAATGCTTACCTTGGCAGGACTGTGTCAGGGGAGAGCGGAGCTGAGCCAGTGCCCCTGTGAGTCGTGAAGAGAGACCCAGTGGTGGCGATCCCGTGTCTGGAAGAAGTCATGCTGTGGCCGTCATGGTGTGCTTGATGGGGTGTTTCCTTATGAAGCAGGTGCCTCGGGAAATGGAGCAGGCAGGCATGGCCTGCCGAAGGCTGGGTTGCCTCATCCCAGCTCCCCTGCCATCAGTGGATCTGTAGGGACAGCGGAGCCCAGGCTGTGGAGTGGGCTCTTACCCTGTGCAGTACAGGGCAGGCTGGGAAGACCATGGCTGGCTTGCTAGGGCCCAGAATCCAGGGGTTATTCCTTCTCCTCGCTAGGGTCGGTCCTGGGGATCCGCCAAGGTGTCCGGCCATCAGGTGGGGTGGGAAGCCTGGGCATGTGCTGCAGCCTGGATGACAAGTGTGTCCACAGGCAGCCGGACTAGGTAATTTCCTAGCCCGAGTGGCACCCACACCACTCGCTGGTGTGGATGGAAGGCTTTTATGGAATTCTGCGTGTTCCTATGCTGATGAGTCAGACCAGCTTCCCGATGGCCTTTGGCTTGCTGGTCTGGTACTCGATGAGAGCCAGAAGCGGTATGGAAACCAGCCAGTCGGGGTTATCTCAGCCATCCCTTGACTGTCTTCAGAAAGTGCCCCTGGAAGGGAGTGTCCTGCACAGTGCTCCTCGCCATCCACCTTGGAGGACAGAACCGCGGCGTGCCAGATCCCTGTAGGAGCACAGGCTGGCCTTAGGCTGTGGCAAACCAGCCAGCATTGCCTTTGAAGTTAGGGCTAGGGAAGCCGGATTCTGGGAAGATAGTGGTGGCATCCCCGCAGCCACACAACTAGACTACAGAACCTAAAACCACGGGTAAGCTGAACTGTATGCTTTAAAGTCGCAAGAACAGCCACGCTTGTTGTATGAACAAGAAGGACATCCAGTGGACATCCTTTATGATAAAGCCAGGTGATAGGTGCCTCTTGGGAGACAAGCATAGGTCAAACCACCAAGAGCCATAAGATGCATGTGACCCGCAGGTTCTCAGTGTTGGAAGGGAGGCAGGGGTTGAGAGCAGCAAAACAGGCTGGGCTGGCCACTCTCCTGTAACCCCCATGGCTGACCAGCGCAGAGCTCTATGGACAGGTCTAGGAGAAGCAGAATGGGCCCTTAGGACCCTAAACTGACTGCCAGGACTCCCTCCTAGAAAGGTCCCTGCCGCAGTCTGGCTGGGCACAAAATCACGAGCCACCACACAGCTTGTAGATTCAAACAGCAACTCTATTCCCGAACTCACACCAGCACTCTACAATCACGTTCTGGGGAAATCCACGTTCTCTGCCCAAATCCACCCCCACTGGGCTTCTGTCTCCCAAAAAATACTGTCTGAATCCCGTGAGAACTCAAGGGGAACTCAGGCAGCAGGATACGCCCTATTCCCAGCAGGAATAACCTTAAACCTGGAACCACCCTAAACCCGGATTGTCCTAAACCGGGAACGCCCTAAACCCGGATCCGCCCTGGTCCTTGAGCAAGGTCACCTTACATGCAATGTCACTGCAAAATGTCCTATTTCCACGAGTCCTTCCACTAAGCAACATGGGGTACGCTGGCAAGGAAATTGTCATACCTACTTGGCTAATGGCTCCCAGCAGGTCCCCTGCTGAGGAATATAGATTCAGAGGAGGGGCGAGCCCAGGTGGGTGCAGGACCCCTGAGAGCAGGTGCACATGTGTCTCAGACCCCACCAAAGATACAGAAGAGGGAGCTCTGAGCTAGAGACCACCTTCTTCTGAAAGCTGGAAACATTTTCACAGGAAAATGAGCATCCAAAGGTCTGGACATCGAGGCCAGGCGAAGCCAAGAGGCACCGCAGGACACCTCAGTGGGGGACATGCGCCTGCCAATGGGTGATGGCCCAGCATTAAGACTCGAATTTTAAAATGTGAACTAACTGACATGAAGGAGATGACAGGAGACGCAGAAAACACATGAGAATTAGAAAAACTCGGAAATGAGCTGGCACAATAAAATATCATGAATGAAAAAAATTCAGAAATGTGAGACAGCAAAACCCAGCAGAGTGTGGTTTTACCATCGGGAGGAAAGGAGCAGATGGAAAGACTTAGAAAGTGGCACGTGGAAGATAAGCCAAGATCAAACCTGGGTGACACGGGAAGAGTGAGACCCAAGAAGGACCAAAATCAGGAAATATTTTCGTAGACAGGCTGAGTATTTTTTGGTACTGGATCCACACCCCTGGCCTTGCCCCTGCCTTTTTTTTTTGACTGAGGTCCTCCCCAAGTTCCTGAGGTTGGCTTAGAGCCCGCCATCCTCCTGCCGCTGGCTCCCTAGTGCTGGGATTACATGTGTGCACCGTGGTGCCCGCTGGATGTTTTTAAAGACTCATCCTTGGGGCATTTAGGGAGGGAGATCGGGTTTTTTGAGGACTGAGCTTTAGGCCAGAAGCAAAAGGAATACTTACGACTCTTCAAGGGAAGAGTGAGCCGAGGGGTTTTTGTCCAGTAAAGGGACTGAAGTTAGGAGCCCTGGTGCATGTGCCAGGTTGTGTGGGAGAGCGTGTCCTCGGTAGGCCTTCCTTGGGGCTCTAGAGAAGAGGCTACAGACAGCCTGTGTGAGTGCACGGGGCTGGTGTCAGGCTGGGAAGGAGGACAGGGTGCCAGGCGGCAGGTGTCCTACTATTGCTTTTTAGAGTAGAGGGAGCATAGGCAAACATTGTTAAGTTTTTAGTGTTTTTTTTTTTTCTCTCTTTTGGACCAGGGATTGAACCCAAGACAATCATTAACCGTTGAGCCACATGCCCAGCCCTTTTTATATATTATTTAGGGACAGGGTCTCACTACGCTGCTCAGGGCCTCACCAAGGTGCTGAGGCTGGCTTTGAACTCCTGATTCTCCTACCCCAGCCTCCTGAGCTGCTGGGGTCACAGACATGAGCCACTGTGAAGTTTTTAATGATTATATCAGCAGCTTTATTAATACTGTCATTGGGCCAGGCCTTATGGCACCCATCTGTCATCCCAGGGACTGGAATCTCAGCAACTTAGCCAGACCCCATCTCAAAATAGAAATTTTTAAAAGAGTTGGAGATGTAGCTCAGAGGTAGAACCCTCCTGGCCACCCCTAGTACTGCAGTGATAATGTTGTCATTGGGGGAGTGTTGATGTGACCATTATGGACGTTCTGGCTCCAGGGTCGTCCTTTCCCATATCCAGGCCTCTCTGTGGAAGACCCCCTGGGACAGAGGCTGGCAGCTCTGTCTCCACCCTGAACTGGAAGGTTCCTGGGCGGTCCTGGGCTGCCCCAGGAACCACCAGGCTAACTGCCCTTTTCTAGAGGAGCACATTCGGGTGATAATAGCTTTAACACAAGGAGGTGACAGTAGCCGGGACAGCAGTTCCATCTTCCATCTGGGGATTGAGCTGTGGTGTGGCAAGGGGCATGTGGCAGTCCTAACTAATGCAGCATCTTTTTGGCTTGTGGGGTTTCTTTATTTTAGGATATAAAGGTTTATTGTTTTTTTGTGTGTTTAGTCAGGACTTTACGTCGGTCAGTTCACCTGGAAGGAAAGTCAACAGTAGTTCTTTAACTGGAGACTCAGGTTTTCTTCTGATCAAGTCCTGGGACAGGGACAGCTGTGACCTGTGTGCAGGCACCGAGTTCTAGGGCTGCGTCTGCAGGAGCTCAAGTCTGACCCACATCCTGTGGCCTTGCAGGGACAGCAAAGCAGGGCACTCAACGGCAGAGAGGGCAGCAGAGGCCCAAGCCGGCCCTAGACCTGCTCATGCCCTGGGGCTCTGGCTGCCTCAGTTCAGCCTGCCTTCTGCAGTGGCTCTGCCCTTACCTTTGGGCTTAAGACCCAGTCCCCAGGACCTAGTTTTGACAGGGACATGGAAACTCTCGGGAGCCCTTCCTGGGTCCCTATGCTAGCCCCTGCTACTCGCTGTCCATGAGAGACACGAAGGACAGGAAAAGCTGTTGCTGGGCACCCTGGGCTCTTCTGGAGAAGCAGCAAGGGAGAGTCCTAGCTCAGCCCTGATGGACAGAGCAGCTGCCGAGAAGGCCCTGGCTCCATCCACTCCCCTGAGGGCACGTTGCACCCAGAGCTGGAAGCGAGGCCCTGCTGGGGCTGCTGAGCTCTTCCCCTTCCCCTTCCACGGCCAGCCTACACCATAATCGGAGGGACCCCGTGCTGCAGTTGGGGGAGACAAGCCACAGTCCAGAGGGGGCCTAGGAAGGGGGACCTGGCTCTGCCAGGGTGCTCCTCCCCTGGCACCAGCTTGGCCTCATGTCACCTGGCCAAAGCCCGGGGGTGGGACGACGGGGGCTTTGCTCCCTGGGCTCTGCCTGGGCCAAGGCCATGGAGGAGCATCAGCTGCCGTGCCTGCAGAAATCCCCCCGAGTTTCATGCCTTGGCCTGGCTCGGCAACAGGGTTTCCAGGCGTTTGGTCAGACATGATTCTCCGTGTGCCATAGTTTTGGATCCAGAATATCCCCCAAAGGCCATGTGTTGAAGGCTTGTCTTTGGGGTGGCACTGTTGGGAGATGGTGGAACCTTTAGGAGCTGGGCCCTCGTGGGAGGTCTTCAGGTCATTGGGGTGCCCTTGGGGGGACAGTGGCCCCGCACTCTCTTCACTGTTTTGCTTCCTGCCAGGAGGAGAGAGGTTGTGCACCGTGGCCCTCCGCATGAAGGGGCCTCGGCACAGGCCCAAAAGCAGAGGGGTCAGCTGATCGTGGCCTGCAGCCTCCAAAGCCATGAGCCAGAATGTGGCCTCTAGTTGGCTCTCGGATCTGTCACTTTGGTGCCCAGCGCTGTCAAGGCAGGTGTCTCTGGGTGAGTTCAGCCTCTGGTTGGTAGGTGGCGTGAAGCAGGCTCCTGATGGGGGTGGACCTCATCCACCAAGGGCCTGACAAGCAGAAAGGCTGACCCTCCCCAGAGGAAGAGGCTTCTCCCACCTGCCCCCTTAGAACAGGGCACAAATAGGACAGCAAAGGCACAACTGCCCCTGGGCCCTGGACACTTGAGCACAGCCCTGGGCCCTGGACCAGCAGGGCCATGCCTGCCCCTGTGCCAAGCCGGCTGGGAGACCGGCACCAGGGGGCGCCTAAACAGGGGGGTTTGGCGCCTCAAGGCAAAGCTCATGCATTTCTTCCCTCTTCAGGAGAGGACACGAGATGACCGCAGGGCATGAGACTAACATGTCCTGCAGCTCAGGAGCCCTGGAAATGACTGGGCAGAAGGCTGGTTGGGGTGAGCACCAGATCGGGAGCCAGGGGGTGTGGCGGGAGACAGAGGGCCGGCAGGGCAGCACCAGGCTTTCCCGCGCCTTTCTATTCTCTCCCCCAGGCTGGCCTTCTGTGACCGTCACCCACCACCCCCTGTGGAGGGCAGGCCTCACCAGGCTGGGACATCTGCCTTGTGTGGGGATTCGCCTCTGTCTAGGGCCCACCCAGGAAGGACGCACAGAGACCTAGGAAGTGGCAGGCTCTGGCCCAAGGGCTCGACCAGGATCTGACCTCGTGCTTTCTGGGGCTCTTGGCCTTGCCAGACCCCTTCTTCCGTCAAAGCTCCTTGGAAAGCGCGTTACACGACTGTGCAACGGACACATGCAGTGTACCCTCAACCCACAAGGCGCTCACACCAGCAGGACTCACCTCCCCTGATTTTACAGGAAATTAAAACAAGAGTTTTAACAGAATCCGAGCCCGATGAGGAGGCAGCACTGCTCCTGAAGGCTGGGAAGGAAGACCCAGCACCCACAGCTGTCCCCAGAGGGGAGGGAGGGGCTGGCTGGCTTTGCAGTGGCAGGTGTCCTGGAGCCTGTGGAGCCCCTGGTGCGAGACTAACCAGGCCTCCCTGCACCCACCCCAGACTCCAGTCTTGGGGAAAGACGAGGCGAAGGGCCTCTCCATGAGGGAAGGCCCTGCCCCTCGGGCCTCTCCTGCTTGAGCACTGGTGTGTGGGCGCTGGATCTGTGCCCATTCTGCCCACCAGGACGGGCATGGAGCTCAGGGCCTGCGTGGTCCTATAGAGGGTCTGCACCCAAACTGCCTTTGGAAACTGGGTATACAGGGGAGGCTGTAGGAGAGGAGGGGGTTCCTGACGTCAGGGTGGGCAGCTAGCCAGCAGCTCAGGTTCCTGGGGACTCCTACCTTCTGCTGAATCCTCATCCCAAAGCCCTCATGCTGCTTGCTCCCTCTTGGGACATGCAGCCTCCAGCCCAACCAAAGCATTGAGGGACACCAGGACTGACTGCTTCTAGAAGGCTCTCAGCTGAATGGGAGGAGCCTCTGAAGACCTGTACGAGTTGGACTAGCCCTTGACATGGCACCATGGTGTGTTTGGAAGGGGCTGGTGGCTGCAGGGCATCAGGCCACAGTCCCATCCTGAACACCCATATTCTCTGTCCTGGAGTTGGGGCTGGCAAAGGGGTCACTACAATCTGAGGTGCCTGGGAATAGGCTCAGGCCACACAGGTCCTAGCCACCTGTTGCCCCGTGGCTCTCCCCAGCCCCTTGTGCCTCTCCTTGGTGACCCCTTCCTGAGGCGGGCTGGGGGCAGAACGTGGGGAGAAACCTGCTTGGAAGGCCAGGCCGCCGGGGTTAAAATGGATGGGCAGGGTCTGCCCTTGCAGGCCACCCTGAAGGCCAGGGCAAGAGGGTGCCAAGGGCAGGCTGTCAGGCCTCCCCCTGGGCTGGATGCACCCACAACCTCCCCTGGGCTGTCCTAGGTGCACACTAGATGCTCAGCTGCCCCATTTTATATGCAGCCTCAAGATGAGCCAGGCCAGGTGGTGGTGGTGGTCTCTGAAGGAGTGAAGGTCTAGGGGTCCCAGTGGGCCTGGGCTCGCCTGTTTCCTGGAGGTGCCTTGTTTGTGCAAAGGTCTGCTGCAGGGGCAGTGGCTCGAGGTCAGGCCCTGGGCTGTGCTGCCATCTTTTCAGCCTGCCCAGCCCCCACCAGGCTGCCAGGCCTTGCCTCTGCTGTGCCCTGAGGCTCTTGCACATGACTCGGTGGTGTGGTGGCCCCGACTGTCTTGGTGCCCCTGACAGGCTTTTGTGCAGACGGGATGATTATGAGACTGGCTCATCCAAGTGTCAGTTCTGCTCTGAAAGCTCCTTCCCACTCCATCCAGCCTGGCACTCCGGGGCCCGGCTGCAGCAAGGGTGCCTGGGCACTGCCAGCCGCAAGCTCCTCAGAGCCCTCCTCTGGCTGTGTCCCGCTCTCACCCAGCCCAGCCCCATTACAGAGCTGGGGAAACTGAGGCCCCAGGACCGCTGACCACCAGGTATTTCCCCACCGTGGGCCCAGCAGACCAGACACTCCTGAAGGGCTGCTGCAGAGCTGGCAGGGGGACAGGCCAGGTGGGGAAGGCATCCTCAGCTGGAAGGCCTGGGGCCACCTCCCTGGAGCCCCAGCCCCATCCCAATCCACACTGGGGCCTCGTGTTCTGAGTTCATCTTCCCTCAGGCTCTAGACAAAAACCTTGCTTTTCATTCTGTTGGTATTTATTGAGCTACTACTCTGAGCACCAGGAACACGATCATGAAAGAACAGCCCAATCCCTACGCTGGAGCGGAATGGAGGAGCGGAAGGTGTATCTGATGGAACTTCCTGGCCCAGGGAGAGGCACACCAGGGAGGGGGGAGGCCCCCCACCTCTCCCAGAGCTGTCTGAGCCTAGATAAGGTCAGAGCCTTTCTTCCCTTCCTGGGATTCAGTGAGCAATCCTTTGCCTGCTGACCTAAGCAGGAACCAAGGGTCCACCTGCACTGGCCCGGGAGATGGCGCCTGCCTTTCCTGAGCTGGGGAGGGTGTAGGGGCTGCAGGTGCCAGCCAGGACGGTGAAAGATGAGACAGGTCTCCACGGCAGCTCAGCCCTGCAGGTGGGGCTTCAGTGGATCGAATCCCTTCCTCAGTGGGCTGCACACCAGAGGGGAGGTTTGGAGAGCAGGGTGGGAGCCCAGTCGAGGGACCTGTGGAGGAGGTGGCAGTTAGAGGGAAGTGTGGATAAAGCTGTGAGCTCTCGGGGTGAGGAAAGGCCTGGACTGCAGGGTGCATTGCAAGCAGGGTGGGGGCCTCGTGAGGACCAGCCCGGGAACCCAAAAGGCCGTGCAGATGTGGCCCCTGGTGGAGAGCCCTGGGGCCCAGCCTGGTGGGGTTTAGTGAGGGGTGGGGGGCAGGGAGCTGCTGAGAGCCATAGACGTGGTGAATGCCTGTGTATAGAAGAAATCGGGCCATCCAGGCCCAAGGCCAGGGCAAGGCAGGCAACCCAGGAGCAGGGAGCAAGAATGGTCAGGAGCATCACCAGCTGACCAGCTGCACCATCTGTGGACGGATGGGTTATGGTCCGAGCTGGTGAATGGGTTTGCTGATCCTCAGGGGTTTCTGTAGGGGCAGCCCAGATGCCTGCTATGCATGGGGGTGCTTGGCCCCTAGGGTCCTGTGCCCAACTTCAGGGCTCTGCTGAGACTCTCCAAGGAAGCAGCAGATAGGCTGTTGGCTTCCTGCTGGTGACCTTTTCAAGAAACCTTCCAGGATGTGGGGAGCAGAGGGCCCAGGAGCTGCAGTCTGAGGGGTTTGCAGCACCCCTCTCCACTGCACCCCCCCAGAGGGTGCAGAGAGTAGAAGGCTCTTAGGGGTTTGCAGCACCCCTAAGAGCACCACTCTCCACTGACCCCCCAGAGGGTACAGACAGTAGAAGGCTCTTGGGCTGGGGAAGCAAAATAGAGCAAGCCTGAATTTTGCAAAAATGATCAAGGACAGGACTTGTTGTAATCTGGGTGCGACACCTGCTGATATCCCTCCATCATGGCAGAATTCAATTTTGCAAACACAGGACTTAGCCAACGTAGTGCTGGCTGGAGAGATGACCTTCATGGCAATGTGCTCCCGTGGGGGTGGTGACGAGCAGCAAGGCCCAGATCCAACCAAGACCAGGGCTCCAGAGTCTTCCCACAGCGGGTTTCCAGCCAAAATGGGGAGCGAGTACCAGTGTGTTTATTTACCAATGATGTCATGCTGGTCTGTTCATCATTTTTTTTGAACAGCAAAACCAAAATGAAGTAACTGAAATCAGGTTGCAGAATAAAGAATTGTTGGACCTATTTTGAGTTGAATTTAAAAGTTTTTTAATTTTAATTTTTTTGCAGTACTGGGGATTGAACCCGGGGCATCACACGTGCTAGGCGAGGGCTCTCTACAACTGAGCCACATCCCCAGCCCTTCTACATTTTATTTTGAGATTGGGATCTTACTAGGTTGCCAAGGCTGGCCTGGAACTTTCCGCCCTCCTGCCTCGGCCTCTCTAGTAGCATGTACCACCACATCCAGCTTAATTGAAAATTTTATTGGATAATTGTAGATCCATATGCAGCATGAGAAATAATACAGAGAAATCCCTGGTACCCTTGACTCAGTGTCCCCCATGGTAACATTCTACAAGATTACAGCTCTCTCTGCCAGGCCTGACATCAACGCGCTCTGCCAACCTTGCTCTGATTCGCCAGTTTACTCGTACCCATTCAGTGGGCATGCATGCAGTACCATAGAACTGTATCCCCTGCCCAGGTCCAGTATCTACCACCATGGCCAGAATACAGGACACTTTATATATATATAATATGTCAAAATATATTCTACTGTCATGTATAATATAAAGAACAAATTTTAAAAATTCTTACTTAAAAAAAGAGGGCAGAGGTGTCAAGAATGGGATTAGCACTCTCACAAAAGAGGCTAGAGAGAAACTTCTTACCCCTTCCGCCCTGGGAAAGCAGCCTGCATCTGTGAACCAGAAAGTGGCCTGCTTCAGATCTACTTGCGCTTGCTCTTGGACTTGCCAGTCTTCAGAACTGTTAGAAATAAATGTCTATTGTTTATAAGTCACAACAACAGCAACAGAACATTGCCTCCACCCGTCTCGCTGTGTGCCACATAGTCGCACCACCCTGCCCCCGTCTCTAGCCCCTGGCACCAACTCTTCTTCTTTTCAGAACATTTGCCACCCAGAACCGCTGCATAGAAAGGAGTCACAGGGTGTGCGCTGCTCACTCGCACACACCCGCGTGGCTGCACAGGGAGGCCCAGGGAGGGAGAAGCAGTACTGTGGGCATGCCTGTGAGGGCGCTCCCTGAAGAGATCGGCTTCCAAATCTGTAGGCTGAGTCAGGAAGCTCTGTCCACAGCGAGGGCAGGCTCCTCCAGCCATCCAGGGCCAACAGGACAGAGGGCGGAAGAAGGGCAAGTCCTCTAGCTCCCTGACTAGACTGTCCAGCTTCTGTCCTCTGAGATTGGGTCTCATGGTCCTTGGGCCTTTGGGCTCGCCAGGATTCACGCCATCTGCGCCCCTGGTTCTCAGGCCTTTGGGCTGGATTGGAACCGCCTCTGGCTCTCCCAGGCCTCCAGCTCACAGGTGGCAGGTCTTGGGACTTCTCGGCCTCCGCGATGGTGTGGGCTAATCCTGCCTATAGAGTCTCTTCCTAAGCCGGCCTCTGGATCCCCTGGGCCTGGAGGACCCCAGGAATGCAGCCTGCGGCCATCTGGAACTGGCTGTCTTCACCCTGCATGGTCCCTGGAGACCTGTCAGGTGGCTGGGCACATCGTGGCCCCTGCCTTGTCACTGCTGAGTGGTGCTCTGTGCTGTGATGGGCCCGTGTGCTTCACCACCTACCTGTCCAGGTGAGGCTGGGGCTGCTTCCCGT